ATGACTTATTAATATTCCTCTTTAAAGTCAAAAGACATTAGGGTTTCGTTAGTTTGGTTCGATTTGTTTTACGACATATCAACCTCAGTGGGTTATTTAATGCTGACAAGATATTTTTTCAAAAATGTACAGTGGGTAATAATTTTTCTTAAAAAATTTATTGCTGGTAATAATATTTTTACAAAGTATTTCTGAGATTAAAACCCATTTTTACACGTTCATAATGTTTTGACCCCAGTTTGGGTGTTAACTATTTACCCCTAGCTGGGACCCTAACGGGTGCTACCACCCCAGGTCAAGGTGAACCTGGGAACACCAACAATTAAGAAGTGGTTCCATGATCCTCAAAACCTCCTGATCAGAGGCCTTGCTGTTGGATGTAGTTTATCGTCTTACCAAGGACGTGGATGTAGTTTATCGTCATACCCAGGACGCAGGCATTAGGGACTGACCATAACCTTTTCAAGTGCAATGAGAGGATGCCATCCCCACCACTAGAGCTGAGCATAAAAGTGATTTTATTATTTATATCTATGAACATGTCTTATATCTTGTTTAAAGATAAGAACTAATTTGCCTATTCAGCTTTTAAAATTTGTTTTTTAAATTAAAAAAAACAAACTGTTATTCAATCACAATCTGATCTTTGTGATATTTATAAACAAGCAATTGTTTTGTTGATTGCTTTTATAATTAAATTGTTTAGTTATTCATATAAAATCACTTTTAGCTCTGAAAATGGATACCACCTAGGCATTTCAATCACAAATTTTTATCCAGGTGAAAATAATAAAACTGGTATAAAAAATGATAAACCTTTCCAAAACAGAAACTAAGATCTTGAATTAGAATGAAAGCAGTGAATGGTTATACCGTGAGAATCCATCATGAAAATTTATTGATATCCTGAGAATCCATAATGAAAATTTATCTATACTCAAAGAATCTACCATGATAATTTATTTATACTCAGAGAATCTATCATGAAAATTTATTTAAAGCCTGTGAATCCATCATAAAAATTAAGGATGTGTAATTAATAAATACTTAACCATTCAAATACTTTGGTGTATGGATTAATTATAACAAACTTATTATGAAACAAAGAAATTGAACAAATAATGGACTGCACTTTGGGTGGTTTTGTGCAACACCTTAAGGTGCTACAAAACCAAAACATCAAACTAAGAACTCACGCCATGTTCTTAAATAGTCTTTTTAGATTGAGACTTTCATTTGAATGTAATGCAGGGCACCTAATCCATTCAGAAATATCAAAAACTGTCAGCTGTATACAACTGCTTTTTGAGATCAATGATTAAAAATAGCTTTGAGAGAATAAAGCCTATAGGTTTTAGAGAGGACCATCCTAATTTAAGCCTTTTGGACTGGCACAGCAGAATCCCAAACAAGGAACTGAACCATATAATTTGAGGATTTTCAACAACAGCAACAACAACTAAAATGGATATCACATGTAACTCAAAGAGGAAACAATGACATAATCAAAATATTGACGTTCCACACGGCTTTGAATAAAAGGTTAGGAAGGAAACTGCCATCAATACTGGAAAGAGTAATAACACTTAGTGGACTTGAGAAAACAATTTTCTTGAAAAATTATTTCTATATCTTATGAATTCCAACCAGCAGTAGCACAGGCACCTTGGTCAGTGAATGTCGAATGCTTCCTTATAAGGAAACAGTTAATATTGCCAAACAGATATACACACATAAAGACAGAGTTATATTAGTCAAAATTTGCTATATTCATGGGGGAAAAGTGCTCAATATCAGGGATAGAGTGTTTAAAGATATAAACAGTGTAGACACAGAAATCAACACTTCATGGTGACAATATCCAGACTGGCTAGAAAATATAATTGTGATCTTATTTATAAAATCATGGAAAGTGAATTTTCCTTATCACAAATAAAAATGAATTGCTGGAGATTTGTAACATCAGTGAGAGAAGTGGAGGAGGTTAACGAGAAAGAAAGAAAATGATCGAGTTAGAAAAGCAGATTAAGATTGATTGGTTATAAAAGAAAGACAGAAAGAAAGGGTTTGGGTTAGAGAGAAAGACATAAAGAGAATGACTGGGTTAGGGAGGAAGACAGAATGATTGAATTTGAGGGAGAGAGAGTGGTCAGTTTAGAGAGAAAGACAGAAAGAGAATGATCGCTTTAGAGAGAAAGACAGAAAGAGAATGATCGTTTTAGAGAGAAAGACAGAAAAAGACTGATCGGGTTAGGGAGAAAGACAGAAAGAGTGAGTGATCGGGTTAGGGAGAAAGACAGAAAGAGAGTGGATCGGGTTAGGAGAAAAGACAGAAAGAGAGTGATCAGGTTAGGGAGAAAGACAGAAAGAGAGAGTGATCGGGTTAGGGAGAAAGACAGAAAGAGAGAGTGATCAGGTTAGGGAGAAAGACAGAAAGAGAGAGTGATCGGGTTAGGAAGAAAGAAAGAGAGAGTGATCGGGTTAGGGAGAAAGACAGAAAGAGAGAGTGATCGGGTTAGGGAGAAAGACAGAAAGAGAGAGTGATCGGGTTAGGAAGAAAGAAAGAGAGAGTAATCGGGTTAGGAAGAAAGAAAGAGAGAGTGATCAGGTTAGGGAGAAAGACAGAAAGAGAGAGTGATCGGGTTAGGGAGAAAGACAGAAAGAGAGAGTGATCGGGTTAGGGAGAAAGAAAGAGAGAGTGATCGGGTTAGAAAGAAAGAGAGTGATCGGGTTAGGGAGAAAGACAGAAAGAGAGAGTGATCGGGTTAGGAAGAAAGAAAGAAAGAGAGAGTGTCGGGTTAGGGAGAAAGAAAGAGAGAGAGATCGGGTTAGGGAGAAAGACAGAAAGAGAGAGGAAGAAAGGGTTAGGAAGAAAGACAGAAAGAGAGAGATCGGGTTAGGGAGAAAGACAGAAAGAGAGAGGATCGGGTTAGGAAGAAAGAAAGAGAGAGTAATCGGTTAGGGAAGAAAGAAAGAGAGAGGATCAGGTTAGGGGGAGAAATACAGAAAGAGAGAGTGATCGGGTTAGGGAGAAAGACAGAAAGAGAGAGTGATCAAGTTAGGGAAGAAAGAAAAGAGAGAGTAATCAGGTTAGGGAGAAAGAAAGAAAGAGAGAGTGATCGGGTTAGGGGAAAGAAAGACAGAAAGAGAGAGAGAGATCAGGTTAGGGAGAAAAGACAGAAAGAGAGAGTGATCGGGTTAGGGAGAAAGACAGAAAGAGAGAGATCGGGTTAGGAAGAAAGACAGAAAGAGAGAGGGATCGGGTTAGGGAGAAAGACAGAAAGAAAGAAAGTGATCGGGTTAGGAAGAAAGAAAGAGAGAAAGAAAGAGAGAGTAATCGGGTTAGGAAGAAAGAAAGAGAGAGATCGGGTTAGGGAGAAAGACAGAAAGAGAGAGTGATCAAGTTAGGGAGAAAGACAGAAAGAGAGAGTGATCGGGTTAGGAAGAAAGAAAGAGAGAGTAATCAGGTTAGGGAGAAAGAAAGAGAGAGTGATCGGGTTAGGGAGAAAGACAGAAAGAGAGAGTGATCGGGTTAGGAAGAAAGAAAGAGAGAGTAATCGGGTTAGGGAGAAAGAAAGAGAGAGGATCGGGTTAGGGAAGAAAGACAGAAAGAGAGAGTGATCAGGTTAGGGAGAAAGACAGAAAGAGAGAGTAATCGGGTTAGGAAGAAAGACAGAAAGAGAGAGATCGGGTTAGGGAGAAAGACAGAAAGAGAGAGTGATCGGGTTAGGAAGAAAGAAAGAGAGAGTAATCAGGTTAGGGAGAAAGAAAGAGAGAGTGATCGGGTTAGGGAGAAAGACAGAAAGAGAGAGTGATCAGGTTAGGGAGAAAGACAGAAAGAGAGAGGATCGGGTTAGGGAGAAAGACAGAAAGAGAGAAGGGATCAGGTTAGGGAGAAAGACAGAAAGAGAGAGTGATCAGGTTAGGGAAAGAAAGAAAGAGAGAGTAATCGGGTTAGGGAAAGAAAGACAGAAAAAGAGAGAGTGATCGGGTTAGGGAGAAAGACAGAAAGAGAGAGGATCAGAGGGAGAAAGAGAAAGAGAGAGTGATCGGGTTAGGAAGAAAGAAAGAGAGAGTAATCGGGTTAGGAAGAAAGAAAGAGAGAGTGATCAGGTTAGGGAGAAATACAGAAAGAGAGAGTGATCGGGTTAGGGAGAAAGACAGAAAGAGAGAGTGATCGGGTTAGGGAGAAAGACAGAAAGAGAGAGTGATCGGGTTAGGAAGAAAGAAAGAGAGAGTAATCAGGTTAGGGAGAAAGAAAGAGAGAGTGATCGGGTTAGGGAGAAAGACAGAAAGAGAGAGTGATCAGGTTAGGGAGAAAGACAGAAAGAGAGTGGTTAGGGAGGGTTAGGGAGAAAGACAGAAAGAGAGAGTGATCAGGTTAGGGAAGAAAGAAAGAGAGAGTGATCAGGTTAGGGAGAAAGACAGAAAGAGAGAGTGATCGGGTTAGGGAGAAAGACAGAAAGAGAGAGTGATCAGGTTAGGGAGAAAGACAGAAAGAGAGAGTGATCGGGTTAGGGAGAAAGACAGAAAGAGAGAGTGATCGGGTTAGGAAGAAAGAAAGAGAGAGTAATCGGGTTAGGGAGAAAAGAAAAAGGGAGAAAAGAAAGAGAGTGATCGGGTTAGGGAGGGAGAAAGACAGAAAAAGAGAGAGATCGGGTTAGGAAGAAAGAAAGAGAGAGTAATCAGGTTAGGGAAGAAAAGAAGAGAGAGTGATCAGGTTAGGGAGAAAGACAGAAAGAGAGAGTGATCGGGTTAGGGAGAAAGACAGAAAGAGAGAAGAAAGATCGGGTTAGGGAAGAAAAAAGAAAGAGAGAGTAATCAGGTTAGGGAAAAGAAAGAAAGAGAGAGTGATCAGGTTAGGGAGAAAGAAAAAAGAGACAGAAAAAGAGAGAGAGTAATCAGGTTAGGGAGAAAGACAGAAAGAGAGAGTGATCGGGTTAGGGAGAAAGAAAGAGAGAGTAATCGGGTTAGGAAGAAAGAAAGAGAGAGTGATCAGGTTAGGGAGAAAGACAGAAAGAGAGAGTGATCGGGTTAGAAAGAAAGAAAGAGAGAGTAATCGGGTTAGGGAGAAAGAAAGAGAGAGTAATCGGGTTAGGGAGAAAGAAAGAGAGAGTGATCGGGTTAGGGAGAAAGACAGAAAGAGAGAGTGATCGGGTTAGGGAGAAAGACAGAAAGAGAGAGTGATCTGGTTAGGAAGAAAGACAGAAAGAGAAAGTGATCTGGTTAGGAAGAAAGACAGAAAGAGAGAGTGATCGGGTTAGGAAGAAAGAAAGAGAGAGTAATCGGGTTAGGAAGAAAGAAAGAGAGAGTGATCGGGTTAGGGAGAAAGAGAGAGTGATTGGGTTAGGGAGAAAGAGAGAGTGATTGGGTTAGGGTGAAAGACAGAAAGAGAGAGTGATTGGTTAGAGAACAAGAGAGAGTGATCAGGTTAAAGAGAAAGACAGAAAGAGAAGGAGTATATTAGGGAGAAAGACAGAAAGATAGAGTGATTGGGTTAGGGAGAAAGAAAGAGAGAGTGATCGGTTTAGAGAGAAAGAAAGAGAGTGATCTGAAAAGAGAAAGAGAACTTATTTACCATAACTGAACCAATCCCAGCATCCCCATCCCCCTAAGGTCTGTATGTGGCTCTTCACCCTGGAACCCAATTTCTGCCCACTGTTTGGATTTCATGCCTGTCAGCGTCATGTTTGGCTGTAAAATGTTCCAGATCTGTTGAGAAACAAAGAAAGATAACGAGTAACGAAAGAATCTTGAAAGAATTGGCAAATAAGTTTCGTTTATAAAGATTTTTGCATTTGTTAAACAGTCAGATCAGAAAGACATGCATAAAGTTTTGATTATAAAACTTTCTCAGCCATAAAACTGTTATTTCATTAAAAGAAAAAAGATTTTGGTGATTAAACAAGTGTCAACATAAATAGATTCTCCATCTTTAAAGTCAGCTCCTTGTTATATCAGAAACAAAACATTACATGGAAGGGTAGAGAAAGTTTAATTTTGAAGAATTTCATCTACCTACAAATTTGATTGTTGTATAGAAGATACATTTGTGCATAGTGCTGGTTTTTTGTTTAGGCAGGACTGTAATTAATCTCACACAAAGAAAGGCGGGTTCTGCCTGACAAAGGTTTGTCTTAATGATCTGAGTCACGGTTTCACAAGGGCCTTCTATAAAATAATTTACTTTATAAGGAGAGAATGAGAAAAGGGAGAACATTGTATCTCTTATCCCGAATGTTGAACAAGGTGCAAACAAACAAGACTCAAACCATTACATAAAATTGACAATGTCGAACAAAGCGCAAATGAACAAGACACAAACCATTGCGTGAAATTGACAATGTTGAACAGCATGTAAACAAGCAAGACTCAAAACATTACGTGAAACTGACACTGCTGAACAAGGTGCAAACAAACAAGACACAAACTTATGGAGTGGTTTCACAGTGGAGGTTCGTAGTAGTACTAAGTTGGTCCTAAAATAGGTTTGGCGTACAAAACGTTAGGAACTTGATATAATAGGTAATGACGCAGAGAAATCTAGTGGTGGTCACTGATACTTTAGTATCCGACTAACGGTCATCTGGCATCAACTGACTGACCAACTCTCTCAGCAACTGCCTTGTTACTATTACTACTCCTACTTATTATAGATGGGAGAGTCTATTAACTATAGAATAGGTGTGTTCCACTATAACAAAACTGTTACGTGAAATTGACAATGTTGAACAAGGCGCAAACAAACAACCATTATGTGAACAAACATTTATTACAGTATTTAAAAAAAAAAAAAAACAAATACAAGGATCCTCGACTTACGTCGAAGATCCATTCCTATCGTGCGACATAATCTGATTTTGGAACTCACCAACACTAGCACCCATGAGTTGGCCTTAAACTTGGAAGCCATAATGAAAGGCTAAAAAATGACACAAACGAGAGATGGCCAAGACAGTCCAGGTACACTGAGTGCTTTTATTGAGACACCTTCTGTAGGAAGGTTGCCATCAAGGCTTGAGATCTCATCCTAACTATATAAACAGTTAAGTTTGAGGAACTGGAGAGCCGAGTTCAAATTCCAGTCGAATCCATTACATTCACTTATGTGCTAATACCCTTGATAAAATTATGATTCCTCTTCTTCTCCCCCCAGCTATGGGTAAATAGCAGGAAAAACTGGGTTGTATAGCCTTGGATAGCAATTGGTCTAGAAGGACAACACTGAATTCAAAATTGGAAGTTTGTTTGGGGCCTCTGTATTCGGCTCTTCAAAAAGTGCAGTTGGTTCTGCACAAAGCCTTCACCACTAGAATCAAATGAATTTTGCGGGTGGTCTGATTGTCAGTTTCTAGGAACTGAGTTGCTTGACACTCATACATCGAAATCAGTATATGGAGAGTCCAGCAGTATATATATATATATATATATATATATATATATATATATATATATATATATATACACATATACACATACATACATATATATATATATATGATTATTTATTTAAAAATATGATTCCAACGCTACATAAGAGTTCTCATGTTTCAAAACAAGAGCCGAAAACTTCAATATAATTATTTGAATTAAAGTACTAAGCTCTGTTCCATCTTCAAGCGAAATTTTTTTTTTTTGGAATAACTTATTCCTGAAATTTACAATTATTTACCTAATGAGTTCTTTCCTATTTTCTATATATTTTTACACACACACAGACACACACACACACACACATATATGTCATTCGCAGACAGTACTGTTTCGCTGTATCACAGCTCCTCAGTGCGACTAAACAACTGAATGCCTCAAGCCAGGATTGAAACCCAACCGAGTCAGGACTTCTACCACTGAGCTATCTTCATTCGACAGAATGAGGCAGCTAAATCTAGTGTATTGTTTTTACAAATGTAAACAAATGTCAATCAGCCGGAGTGCTCCATTCTTTTTACTGAAGAGCTTCACATTAACGCAGATGGCAGTTGTTTGTAGAATTAACTTGTCATTCAACAGTGCTCAATTGAAATATATTTTCAAGAGCTAAATAGAGGTTGTTGGCTTCTATGAGAAGCTCATCTGCCCTTTGACAAATCTTGTTTTTCATTCTGTGGAGTGACATGCCACCCTCCTCACTAGCAGAAAAGCTCATGGGGGAGAGCTGGTGTAGATGCCAACCACTTGTCCATGCTGCAGCTTCTACTGGATTACATGTTATCAGTAATCTGACCCAACTCAAAATAAAAGATAAAATTGTAGAAAACAGATGATGAAACCCTTTGACAAATTTGACAACTTTATTGACATTTTAACATGTCCATAAACAGAGGGGCACAAATACTAAACATCAAAAAAAGATATGAAATATCATCAGTTCTTTGATGATCCAAATTTCAAATAATTTTCTTTTTAATTGTATCTGTATGTTGAAAGAGTTTCCCTTCTTTTGTACATATGAATTGTGGTATGTGAAATTGTTTATATTGAAAGCATATATGTGCATGTGTACCAATAGTAATTGTAGCCGTAATATGGTAATAGGTAAAATTTGATAGGTGATAATTGAATGGAAATTCTGTAGTCACTTTAAATAATGCTGATAATAATAATGAAAGAAAATAAAATATTTATAGGAATTGTACAGATACTCCAAGTTGAACAATGCAATGTCGAAAGTGAGTAATTGGTAAAGTTGCAAAACACATTTTTTACTGAAAACTGGATAATTACGATCAGTTATCAGGATTTATAGAAAACTTCTTTTTTTTTAACGTGTGAAGATTTCATGGTTTTCCTCTTTTAAATTTTGGATGGATCTTAATTCTTCAGGTAAAGTTGCAAAACATACAAAATTTTTTTATTGAAAACTGGATAATTAAAATCAGTTATCAAGATTTATAGAAAACTATTTTTTTAATGTGTCAAAATTTCATGGTTTTCCTCTTTTAAATTTTGGATGGATCTTAATTTTTCAAATAATGACTGAATAAGCTCATGGCGAGTTCTACAATAAAATATCCGTATAAAGTTCCCTATCACATTGTTAAATATTTGAGCTTTACAACTTTAACAACATATTGCAATAACAATCATAAATATGAATGATGGTCATTATTTTAAGAAGTGGGTACAAATAATTTGAAATGGACAACTTTTTCCATTTCACTCAGACAGCCATTAAACACTTCTTTTTTTCTTTCATTTTCTCAATAAAACTAAGTAGTATCTTTTCCCCTCTTAACATGTGATCAAAATGGAATAGTCCATTATTTATGAGGTATTGGAAGAAAACATTGAACACGTTCATCTTCTCTTCTTTTGTTGTTTCATTTTCTCAACAATCAAAACGTCAAGAAGTCAAGTTTTCTCTTTGGTAGTTTCAACTCAGCGCAAGGCTGGCTTGAGCGTGACGATTGTAACAATTCTTATATTTACTTATCCTAACTTCAGGACCAAGAGAAAGAAAACGGACATCACATAATCATGTTTTAACCACCCAGTGATAAAGTAAGTACAAACCTTCCTTTGGTTGTTCCAACTCGACCATTAATATGATGCTTATCCTTAACCCAAGAGACATTAAGAACTTTGTTTCACTACAGTTGCCATAAAAAGAATAAACAGTCCATGGTAGAAACCCCAGATTTTGTATGCATCTTCTCCTTTGTGTATCATATGTGAACAAGCACCACACCTAAAACACACACAGATACACATGACACCTAAAATACACTCAAATACACATAGCACCCAAAATACATACCACACCTAAAATACACATAAATACACACAACACCTACAATACACACACGACACCTACAATACACACAAATACATACCACACTTACAATACACACAAATGCACACGACACCTATAATACACACAAATACATACCACACCTACAATACACACAAATGCACACGACACCTATAATACACACAAATACATACCACACCTACAATACACACAAATGCATACCACACCTACAATACACACAAATACATACCACACCTACAATACACACAAATACATACCACACCTACAAAACACAGCACACCTAAAATACACAAAAATACATACCACATCTAAAATACACACAAGCCTGTTAATTTCCATAGAGAAATGGTTTGCAAATTTATCTCATTAGACCATAGCTTGCCTAATAAGTTTATTCTTCTCTGGGTTACTCATTCCTTTGGCTTTGTGCCTGACTTAATATTAAAGATCTGTTTCCTTTGCACAACACAATTTCCATGCTAACAGTTTTTGTGTCTTGCTTTTCCAGTCAACTTTGATCTTCAAAAATTTAAATCCAGTGTCAAATGTTATCTTTTATTTTCATAATTTCTCTTTCTATCTTTTTTTTTAATCATTTCACCACAAGCAAGGCAATAAAGCCACTAAGATGCAAGGGGTTACTGAGTGTGAAAGTGGTCTCAAACTTTTGAATTATGTTATTAGCAACTGAATTTGTGTAACTTTGAGACAAAAAAAAAAACAAAAGAAAAAAAGGTAAAATGCAGCTGCTTTTACCTGTCGTAAGTGATGCTCGTATTCTGATATATCCACATTATGTTTTCGCTGTCGTACCATTTCCACTTTTGATACAATCCGAGTGTAACCAATTATTTGCCCAAGTCGCAGAGTTATCTCAGCACACATTCTGCAGTTGAAGAAGTAGATAAATATAAATAAAAATAAAATGAAGAAAAAAAAATTTGACAAAAAAAATCTTCTATAATTTCTTCAGATATTTATACCTTTGAGAATTGCAGATAAGATTACCTTTGCTAAGAACGAACAGATGCCAACTACATAAGTCTTGCCCTTGCAATAAAACTAATGTTTTTAACAGAAGAGTCAATGTAGTGTGTATGTGTTTACTATTGAAGATCTAAAGGTTTATTATATAACGTACTTGTTTTGCATTTTACTTATTTTTGAAAACATCTTTTGCATTAAAAATGGAACATAAATTTTCACCTGATTGTCATTTTAAAGATTCAAAAAATGTTAAATATATTTTTTTTGTTTCAAATAAATTTAAAAATCAACACTATTTCAAATAAAAAAAAAAAGCCACTCAACTTATAAACATTAAAAAAAAACTCGAAAACAACCCCTAAGTTAAAAATCCAAAACTAATTTTACCCAAATATTTCTGTATATGTAAATAAATTTAAAATATATTTAAATATATTGTAAATATGCTGTGTATATTTCATAAAATATGATTTCACTACTTGCCAATGAGATAATCCATTGTTATGGTAACACAAAGCATTAGTCAATGCCACTTAAAGAAAACAATCATCCTATAAACAATGGAATTTCTCATTTCAAAATAGTGAGACTAGATTGCTAATACATTTTTATTTCTTTTCTTTTGTTTTTGTTTTTTTCTGGATATTTTTTTAAGATTTAAAAAGATCAGATTTGACAGAAAGTTTAGCCGAAGGAAAGATTTTATTTATTGAATTGTTTACTGTTAAATGGATCCTTAGCTTGTAAAATAACATGCGATAATAGAGTTAACAGTTTAGTACTGTTCAAATAAAATACAAAGAAGTGTTGAATAATCCTTAGATTAACCAAAAAGAATTTTTGGTTTGGTTTGTTTTGTTTTGTTTTATGGCATATCAACCACAATGGGTTATTTAATGCTGACAAAATTTCCTTTTTTTTCAAAAATGTATAGCTGGTAATATTTTTGTTTTACGGCATATCAACCTCAATGAGTTATTTAATGCCGACAAGACATTTAGGATAGGTTCATATGAATAGAATATGTATTCTTTGCTATAGTTTTTTGTTTTGTTTTGTGACATATTAACCTCAATGGGTTATTTAATGCTGACAAGATTTTTATTTCTGGTAATATTTTCTTTTTTCAAATATTTATTGCTGATACTAATTTTTTTTTTTTAAAGTATTTCTGGTATTAAAATCTATTTTTACACTTTCATAGTGTTTTGAGTCAGGTTATGGGGTCAACTATTTGCCCATAGCTGGGACCCTAACAGGTGCTACCATCCTGGGTCAGGGTGAACCTGGGAACACCAGCTATTAACAGGTCGTTCCACACTCCTCAAAACCTGATCAGAGGCCTTGCTATTGGACGTAGTTTATCGTCTTACCCAGGACGTGGATGCAGTTTATCATCATACCCAGGATGACCAAAAAAGTGATTAAAGAAAAAAGGGATTAAAAAAGGGATTGAAGGAAAAGGTATTACAGACAAAAGGAATTAAAGGAAAAGGGATTAAAGACAAAAGGGATTAAAGGAAAAAGGATTAAAGACAAAAAGGAATTAAAGGAAAAGGGATTAAGGAAAAAGGATTAAAGACAAAAGGGATTAAAGACAAAAAAGGGATTAAAGGAAAAAGGATTAAAGACAAAAGGGATTAAAGAAAAAGGGATTAAAGACCAAAAGGAATTAAAAGAAAAAGGGATTAAAAAACCTTTTGATGTTTTGGTCATTTAGTCACATAGGTATTCATTCTTTCACGTTTGTATTACTCTTTTGGAGATCATTCAGATCATAAATATTGCATTCCTTGTTCCAATGTCTTTACCCTTTGAAAACTGACACAGAACCCCCAATAGTAATTTGATACCTTCAGAAGAAAGATCTCGTATTTAAAACTGACTTTCTTGATAAAATCATTATTAGCATAAAAAAAGTCCCTCAGAGAGATGAAACATATAATGCAGAAGTTTTTTTCTATTGTTGCTTTAAATTTTTTTTTCTTTACATATTGTCAACTACTGTATTAAAGTTTTTCTTCTGTCTCTTTCAATTCTTATGCTTCCAGTCACATCACGTTGAGATACCAGTTCCTGTGTGAGCTTTGAAATTAAGCAATATCAAGTCTGATCAGTACGTAGATGGGTGACTGATTGGAAATGCCAGGTGCTGTAAGCTTGGATGTGCAGGTGGTGTAATGGATAATGGCTCAGAATTGTTAATCAGTGGGTAGAGTTTCAATTTTCATTGGGTTTGTTATATTCATTTATTCACAAATATTCTTCAGAAAGATATGAATCCATATCTTCTCCCCCAACTATGGGTTAATTAGTAAGACTTGTATCATTACCACCAATCTAGCAGTACTATAGATGTAATTTACAATTGCTTCAACAACAGGATGTCTATTCAAACATGTGTATCCAGTAAATAAAAAGTTTTATGTAATAGGAAATACAAGGTGCGATTGGTAAATTGTCACCATTTTATATTTTTAATTTCACATTGTTTTTGATTTTGTCGACTGCACAGTATAGTAAGGTCAGTTGGGCACCGTCTGTGAGAAAAGAGCACCATGACACAATTCACTCTACCAGAAATTTGGAAATGGCATGCTATACTGCTTGGCATTCATACCAGAAGCTCAAATACAAACATTTCAAACTATTTGTGTGTCAATCTGAGGACAGTGTAGAGGATTCAGAAAGAGTTGGATGAGTCTAATGGTGATTTAGAAGATACAGTAGCTCGGAAATCTCACTCTGATCATTCTGATAAGAAAACAATCCCGAATTTGTTGGTGAGTGTCTCAGTCTCAAAATGCGGTCCTACATCAAGTGACTTGAGTAGGTAGTGCTGTCCTGGGTCAAGAGGGTAGCTGTTGGAAGACCCTATGTCTGGCAACAGGATTCTGCACCATGACACACAAGCAGGAGAAGCCAGACAATTTTTGCGGCCACATCACCCCTTACATCTAGCCACCTAGCTCTTCAGACTGCACCCCCCCTTGATTATTATATATGGTGTGCACTTGAGCGAGAGACCAACAAAACTCCTTGTAACACCAAAGATGAACTGAAGGCAAGGATTATGGCAGGATTCACCAACTTAAACAAGGAGATAGACCAGAAGAGTTGCAGGAGATTCCGAATACGGATTGTGCAATTTGGGCTGACCATAAAAAGGTTCGCTGATTCCTCAGGAAATTAGGTACAGCAGAATATACTAAGTTTGTTAACTATATTTTGCCTAAGAAAACCAGCGACTTAAAATTTAAAGAGGTGATTCAATCATTAACCATACTCTTCAGTCCAAAAACGTCACTGTTCCACAAGCGTTGGAAATGCATGAATCTCACCCGCAAAGAAGACGAAGATTATACTACTTTCGCGGGTGTAGTCAATAAACACTGCGATGACTTCAAATTGTCAGAGTTAAGCGCCAATAATTTTAAATGTTTGATTTTCGTCCAGGGGTTGATTTCAGCGAATACGCCGTAGGGTACTCAATAAGCTTGAAAACGAGCCCATCGTTACTTTACAGCAAGTTGCCGAAGATTGCCAAAGTTTCGTGAGCGTCAGGGAGGATTCGAAAAACATCTAACAAAGTGACGTGGCTCACATTAAAAAAATATGCCAAAGAAAAATTAAAAAGGGTCAACCAAAAAATAATAAAGTTACTTTGTCGTCAAGACCATATTTCGGGTGTGGTCAATTACATTGGTATAGATATTGTCCTTTTAAAGATAAAAAAAAGTTTTAATTGTGATAAATTGAGATACAAAAGTTCCAACTGCAGGATTAAGAACAAGACAAAAAAAAAAGTTTTGTAAAAATTACCAAGTCTGATGAATCAGAAAGTCATAACTATGTAACATCAGAAAATATATTGAAGTGAAAATATTTAACAAAAATATAAGGGTACAGCTTGATTCGGGTTCAGACTTATCCATAATTAATTATCAAACATGGAAAAAACTGGGTAAGCCGACTTTAAGAACGAACCGAATTGCTAAAAGTGTAACTGACGACCCTATTACGTTTATGGGCGAACTTATAACGAACGTGTCATTCAAAGGTAAAACTGTAAAACTTTAAAACTAAAGGCGTATATTATGAAAAATACGGGTAATTTGTTTGGGACTGATCTGGTTAGAACAGTTTCAGCTTCGGGATATGTCTATTAACTCATTATGTCAAAAAGTTGAAAATTTGACTGACGAAGCAGAAAAGTGGAAAGGTGAACTAAAAAAAAAAAAAAAAATTCCCGACGTTTTCAGTGGAGGACTAGGAAAATGCACAAAAATGTCTGCTAAGTTTGAGTTAAAGCCAGATGTAAACCCAGTTTTTAAGGAAAACGTAACGTTCCATTTGTCTCGTTAAATCAAACTGAGGAGGAGTTGAATTGACTTAAGGAAATGGGAGTTCTGGCAAAGGTTGAATATAGTGGATGAGCATCTCCCTCAGTTTATATTAAAAAAAAACAAAACGAGCAAAGTAATTCGTGTATGTGCTGACTTCTCTACGGGGCTGAACAGCGCCCTAAAGGATCAACATTATCCCCTTCCAAGTCCAGAGGAGATATTCTCTAAGCTCAGTGGAGGAAAATATTTTTCTAAGATTGACTTAAGCGATGCATATCTACAAATACCCGTGGCTCCTTTGCATAAACACAGACAAGGGTTTAAACAAATTTTTAAGACTTCCGTTCGGGCTTTTGGTCGCCTCTCCAATTTTTCAACAGGTCATGGACATGATGTTAAATGGTCTGGATTTTGCGGTGGCCTATCTTGATGATGTCCTAATGAAAAGCGAGAGCATCGATGAACACAAATCACACGTCTGGCAGGTGTTCATGAGAATCCAGGATTACAGATTCAAATTAAAAGACGGGAAGTGTGAGTTATTCTTAGAGAGGATTAAATCCTTGGGGCAACTAAATGACAAAGACAGAAGACGTCCCGACCCAGATAGGGCAACGGCAATAAAGATTATGCCAGCACCAGAAAATGTGCCGGCTCTTCAAAGTTTTTTAGGTCTTGCCAATTATTACAACGTTTTTGTCCCAAGAAGGCACAGTTTGAGAGCTGGAAATATTCACTGGAAAGAAATTCCAACACAAAAAACGGAAATGATTTGGATCAGAATATTCCGTGTCTTTATTTATCATGTGAAACTCAAACTTTCAGATCGACCCCTGCCCTGGTAACCAGTTTTGATAAACAGATGTTCTCTCAGGGAGGCTGCATGACTTAAGCGCTGATTGGGACTTAAAATCAAGTGGAACTCGTACATATGACCCATTGCTAAAGATGCTGGAAAAGTGGTCAGTTCTCTGAATTGCAAGTACCTCACTCCTCGTGCTATCTTATACCTTTACAAGAGCCAGATCGGACCGAACATGGAATACTGCTGCCATATATGGGTGGGAGCTGCCCAGTCTTCACTTTCCAGTCTCAAAAGAATCTAAAAGCACGTCCTTGTGGGTGATGAATTATTACAATCCATTTCCCTACAGATGAAGTGTTGCATACCTCTCTCTGCTCTATTGCTATTTCCATAGGGAGTGTTCAGATAACCTATATTCCTTTGTTCTACCATTCCTACAGCTAAGACCCACCATGTCACATACATTGTAGTGAACCACCCTCATTCTCTTTGTATTCCCCTGGTGAAATGTAATTTCAACTCAAGCAGCTTCTTCCCATGAACCTTGTGGAACCGGCTCCAAAGACTCTGTTTCCCCAATCACTACAATCTTAACCTGTTCAAATCTAGGATTAACCGTTATCTTCAACACATATCCACATAAACTGTGCCTCTTACTCTGTAACTCTCTACCTCGAGTGGCTCTCGGGCCTTGTACAGAGTGAACATCATTGTAAAAAAGAAAATGCTGCCTGATTTTCCCTATTTATATGATAACAAGTGGCATTAATTAACACCAATAAGGAAATATGCCTTGTATTGCCATAATGATGGAATATCTCATTAGTAAATAGTGAGACCAGGTTGCTGAACATTGCTTTTTTATTTCTCTTATGTTAGCTTTCTTTCAAATATTTTGACTTTTAATGATTTAAAAAGCAGAATTCTGTCTTATATGCAAAGATAGAGTTCACTGTACGGATAAAAATCCAAAATTACTCATGGAAAAAATCTAAACAACAAAATTACAAAATTATTTAAATTAGACTTTCACTTTTTGGCAGTATTAGCATGGATCACATTAACATTCTTTAAATATTTTTACCTTTAAAGATTTTATGTTAAAACAAGATCTTGCTCAATAAACTGAGTGACAACACTCCACTAGAAAAATGTTCCTGAGGAGAAATTTCAATAAGCTTAAATAATGTCTGATGGTTAAATCCACTTTGGTAGGAAGGGAGACAAGCCTGCTACTGCCACTGCTTAGAGCACAGTCATTAAGCTGAGAAGTGGGCGGCTAACATCTTCAGAAATTTGTTAGCCAAGGATGGTGAGTTCAATCCTTGGTAGGACCACAAGAGTCAGCAAGGGCAAGAGTTAACAATTTAAAATGCAGAATTCATTTTTTATCTGCAAAAACAGAATTAAATACTTAGATAAAATGCCTAGATTAGAAAATATAACCAAAGCAGTTGCAAAATGATTTAAATTAGACCTTCATTTTTGGATAGGAGACAGCTTTCTTTGGATATTTTTGACATTTAATGATTTAAAAAGCAGAATTCCATTCTTACATACAACAGTAATGTTAATTTTGCAGACAAAAGTCCTTGATGACTCGTGCAGAAAATATCACTATTGAAATTGCAAAATTATTTAAATGTGGTCGCCATTATTTTTGGTTAAGAGTAAACTAATATTTTTAGAAGTTGCTTTCAACTTTAATATTTTAATATACAAGGGTGGCCTGAAAAGTTTCTCAACTGACTATGAAGGTGTGATACTAGAGCTGTGAAATCTTGCATGTATTAATTTCATCTCTTCTTATTAATAACTTCATTGTTTTTTTTTCCAGGTACGAGGGTGGACTGAAATATTCAAAGGCTAACTATGAAGGAGTGATGTTGGTGCTGTGAAATCTTGTAAGCATTAATTTCAATTCTTCTTATTAATAACTGCATTATTTCTTTCCTGGTAAACTGACATCTGACTGTTCAAAGTAGCCTGTTCATCTTGTTAGTCAAAAAAGTCATCAACAGCAGATATAATGTTATCATCACTGTGATACTGGTTACCAGTCAAGTGTTCAAAGTCACAGTCATACACAGAAGCCATTGTAACTAAGGACCTGTGTGTTCGAGCATTTCCCTGATGAAACAAGACCCTTTTCATCAGTTTTCCTAGGCGTTTGTTCTTGATAGCCTTTTGTAATTGCCTCAGCATTTTGGCATCGTACTCTCCATTGATGGTGTGGCCCTTTTGATGATATTCAATAAACACAATTTTTGTAGTCAATCACCAGTCATCCATCACCATATGGTGAACATGATCAAGGTTTTCCCCAGTAGTAGCAGTTACAGGAGTTTCAGACCTTGGGTGATCTTCAAGACTCTCCCTCCCCTCCTAAATTCAGCTTCCCACTTTTGCACTGTTGATAAAGCAGGACAACATCCCCTAATGTAGCAACCATGTCAGTATGAATATCTCTGGGTGCTAAACTCTTTTTCTGTAGGTACTTGATAACACTACAATGCTAAATTTTGTTCATTTTCAAGAGAAGTTGCTGTGTTTTACTTCTGAAGTTTTCTTTGAACAGTCAGATATCAGTTTACCTGGAAATAAACAATGCAGTTATTAATAAGAAGAGTTGAAATTAATGCATGAAGGATTTCACAGCTCTAGCGTCATTCCTTCATAGTCAGCCTATGAACTTTTCAGCCCACCCACATACCTGGAAAGAAACATTGCAGTTATTAATAAGAAGAGTTGAAATGAATGCATGCAAGGTTTCACAGTTCTAGCACCACTCCTTCATAGTCAGCCTATGAACTTTTCAGCCCACCCTCATACCTGGAAAGAAACATTGCAGTTATTAATAAGAAGAGTTGAAATGAATGTGTGAAAAGTTTCACAGTTCTAGCACCACTCCTTCAAAGTCAGCCTACAAGCTTTTCAGCCCACCCTTGTACTTTCTTTCAAGTTTACCAAAAAAAAAAAAAAAAAAAAAAAAGAGTTGTAAAACTTGATAAATATACTTACTCATTTGGAATAGATTTTGCATGTAGTAGCATAACCACACTATTGGCAATATCGACATCTTCGTTAACCAAAGCACGGATTTTGGCATTTCGTGAACGGCGTAAACAGTGTTCTTGAAAATAAATAAATAAATAAATATTAAAAAAAAAAAAAATGGAACAAGAGCAAAAGAAAAAAATTATCTAATCCAAAATATTTCCTGTTTTTTGTATTCAACTTAGAAAAATAATGTAAGAATGTTTTAGTTATAAAAAAGAGACGTTAAAGTGGATACATAAAGACATGGATGTTATTTTAGTGCTTGTTATTCCACATAACTATCTGATTTGTTGGCTATTGATGCATGGAGAGGGAGCTTCTTTACTTTGCTCAATTCACCAGTAGCAGCAATGGAAGTAATCAGCAGGGTACAACAGGAAGTCCCAGAAATCATAAAAACACTGACCGAGCCCTATTCAGTCTCTCTGAATCAACACACCACTGTGATCTTGAGCAACCAAAATATGTCTGGTGACTTCAGTCAAACCAACCCCAGAAATCAGTCAACTGCTGGCACTAACTGTGCACCTAATCATCATCCCGATGATCAGCAAATGAAATCAACATTTCACCAATTTTCTGATAACTCTGTAAGACATCATATTTATTAAACAAATACATGTTGTTCAAAAACCTAATCCCCATTATTCTTTTCCTTTCACAACCAAATGCTTATTATAACACAAGGCTATGAGAACCTCTTTAGTAGGCCTAGCATAGAAATAAATACAATATGAGAACAGCTAGTAAAGAAAGAAAGAAACATGACAGCAAATCTTCAACCGCAGAAGCAGCTGCAATCAAAACATGACAGGCAGCAACAGTTGCAACCTGATGAGCAGTGGAATGAGAACTGTCAACTCCCAGAGATTAAATAAAGGGTTCAGTTAAGAATTCCCTGTAGGTTACCCAGAATGATATACACCCAAGAAAGACCAGAGGGCATAATGTTTGAAATGTGATAACAACAACAAAGATGAGGATAATAACCTGAATATAAATAGTGTAATTTTAGAGGCATTGACATAGAGTCTAACATCATGCCAATAAAACTGAATTCATAGGCTCCAACCAGCAAAGCTCAATACAAATTGTCCCAGGTGAATCAATAGAATCTGTTAAGTCTTTTACATATGTAGGAAGTGAGATACATTCTACTGAAAAGGAAGTGAAAATTCACATGGGTAAAGCCTGGGCTGCCTTGAATAAAATGGATGTAATCTGATCTACCAGACAACCTCAAACAGAGGTTATTTCAAGACCCTGTAGAGGTGGTTTTAATGTATGGTGCCACTGCTTGGACATTAGCTAAAACCCAAGTTCAAGCTTGATGGCACCTACACTCAGATGCTGAGAGCTATACTTGTAGTGGAATATGTGTGTAGAAGTGAAGAATTAAGTTAATCTTCAAACACAGATGTACAAATTTCAATAATTTTTAACTAAATATTATTTTTCTTTTAAATTGAAAGAAATGAATTACAAAGATTCTTTGTGAACAACTTCATGCAAAATATTTTGTGTATCTTTTTTAACAGTTCAACCTATTGGATTGTGTTAGTATAGCATAAATAGAAAATGGGTCTACATGTGTGCAGATGTATGTGACATGGGTTTACATTGTTTTATCTGTGTGTATGAAATGTAGTTGTTGACCTCATGAAAGAAGGCAGGGGAAGGCTACTTGCTACTGTTATTTCATGTAAACAAATTAGCATGCATGTCTTCTTTTACATGTCAATAAACATTCATCACCATAATAAATAATTTTTGTAATACTGTATATTCGAATAAATATGTGAAAGATGCGAGTAATCAATTAAGTGTGTGAATTTCAGTTTTGTCTGTGTAACAAATGATCGAACAAAGACCCTGATCAAAGGTTCACTGAAAGACTAGTTAACAAACAAGAACTGATCATATTTATAATAAAATAGTAGGCTCCAGATGAGTTTGAAATTTAGATTTATTGATCTCAAGCTTATTGGCTAATAAATAATTTCCAAATTTTTAAATATTCCTTTTAAAGTAGGAAGATATTCTGAAGTGAGCCTCCAAAATTCCATTCTAAGAAATATTTTGTCATCTGCCAATTCAAAGAATATTGAGCATCTTATATGACGTTGCAGGTTGGTTCAGTCAGTTATGTGCCATGCGTGAAACATGCTTAGGCGATAATATATCTTTCAATACTTGACTGACAAGGCAGATTTTTTCCTGCAGTAGGTTGCCATTTCTTTCTGTGGTAGACCAGTTGCCATCCAAGGCTATAGAACCCAGTCTGTCCTGCTATTTACCTATAGATAGAGGAAGAAGAAGAGGATTCATACCTTTCCCAAGGGTATTAGCACTTAAGTGAATGTAATGGATCTGACTGGAATTTGAACTTGGCTCTCCAATTTCTCAATCCGAGTTTGCTAGCCATGCCTCCTCCTGCTGGTTGGTTAATATATATAAATACAAAGATTCAAATATGTGGAGTCAGTTTTGTACAAAACTTGAGGTACTTTCTGTGAGCTGGTTTTGTACAAAAAATGAGTTTTCAGTGATACTACTTAAACCTATTAGCATTTATCTACACATCTGAAATGGGGGTTCCACGTACTTAATATCTCCTCAGAATTTGGATTCTCGATTCAGTTTTTCTCTGAGGCAAGAACCAAGTTATTTTGAAGATTTCATAGTTAATATTTGATCGAGAAGCAAAACAAGGATGCTTTCACTCACTCAATTTATTATAACAATATTGTCCTCGGAGATCTCAAAGACTTACCAGGATTTATCATTAGTCAACAAAATCTTAAAAACATATGATAACACCATATTAATAGCAAACTCAGAAAAACAACAGAAAGAAGTCAGAAATAAGGTATTAATAGAAAGGAAAAAGGAAAGGACTGACTATTAATTCTAAGGCAGCAGAATTCATGGTCATCAGCAAAAGAGAAAAGCCAAGGTGTGAGTTACATATTGGGGATGTGAAAATCAAGTATATATAGAAATTTAATTATTTGAATGGCATTAGAACAGATGATGGAATATAGGACACAGAAAATGGAGGTACGCAAGATTAACAAAAGATAACTGAGAAACTAAACAACGTACTGATTCATTTTTCTATGCTTTATCAACACTTTGCAGGTTATTTAAAGACAGAAAATATTTTTAGACTGCAACAATGTTTTTTTAACAATAATATTGATACAAATCTTACTAATTAACCCATAGCTGTGGGGAGAAGAGGTGGATTCATACCTAATCAGAATTTAATAAACAAACAAGAAATTATAATGCAGATATAAAGTGGGGGATTAATTCTATATTACAATCAATATACAACCTGATCCCTCACTTTGTGGCCACGGCAGTTTCTATATATACCATTGAATATAAATCAATCTAAAAGACATACATCAGTATTTCATTGATTGATTGATTCAATTTTTACGGCTTATTAACCCTTTTCAGATTATTGAAAGACAGAAAATATTTTTACATCGTAAGAATCTTTTTTTTTAAATAAAAATGATAAAGTGATGCAAGTCTTACTAATTAACCCATAGCTGGGGGAGAAGAGGTGCATACATACCTAATCAGAATTTGATGAACAAACAAGAAATAATAGCATGAATATGAAATGGGGGATCAATTCTATATTACAATCAATATATAAACTGACCACTCATTTTTGGTCACGGTAGTTTCTATACAATTATATTCCAGAGAATGTAAATTAATCTAAAAGACATGCCTATGTATCAGTATTTCTTTAATTGATTGATTTATTTTCTACAGCTTATCAACCTATTGAAGGTTATGAAGAATATATTTTTAGATTCTAAGAATTTTTTTTGAAATAATAATTATTTAGTGACACAAGTCTTACTAATTAACCCATAATTGGGGGGAGAAGAGGTGGAGCCATATCTTTCCCAAGGTTGCAATGAGGTTGGTATTATGGGTAACAACTTAGAATTCCAGTTGGGTTTGTTATATTCACTTATGTGCAAATACCCTTAAGAAAGGTATGAATACACTTCTACTCTCCCCCAAAATATGGGTTAAATAGTAGGACTTCTATTAGTAAATCATTGTTATCTTGAAAAAATCTAAAAAAATATTTAGCTGCTGCCATATATGGTCTGGAGCTCCCGCTGTTCATCTTAAGGTCCTCAACAAAATCTAAAGATGGATATGCAATATGATTGGCCCTGATCTGGAATTTCATTTTCAGTTGCTCTCTCACAGACGTGCCGTTGCTTCCCTCTGTCTTTTCTACAAATACTTTACGGTAACTGTTTCGATGAGCTACTTTCACTGGTTCCCAAACTGCATGAATTTAAACATGCTACTAGGTTGGCATCTCAGTCGCACCCTTTCAGTGTCGAAACGGTTAAATGTAGCCGTCTCTTCTACTCCAATAGCTTCATGTCTTGCACTTCCCGTTTCTGGAACTCCCTTCTTCTTACTTACTTCACTGATAGCTATAATCTACAAATATTCAAATGTAATGTTAATCAACATCTCCAGATGCCTTTGACCTTTCCTCTATCACGCCTCTTTACTCTTGCTCCCCCTCTCTGTAACCCCTGTGTACTAGTGGCACTCCTGCTTTGCTTGGGGTGAAATGCTTAAAAAAAAAATTTTAATTTAAAAAAAAAAGTAACCTGCAAAAGGTTGATAAACCATAAAAAACAAATCAAACAAATTTCAGAAATGACAAGCTAAAATGCCACTAAGAGGGGATCCCATTTTATTCTTTGCTTAGAAAAATCATTGTTGAAGGTAAAATAACTTTGGTTTTTAATGAGCCAATGATTTTGATAACTTTATCTATTAGTAGGGAGATTTAAAGGGTGTTGTGCCCCCCCCTCTGAATCTATGATACAGGCTCCCCCCACTTTACTACATCTCAAATTTCATAAGGTAGTATTCATCTAAAATACAAATTAGACCAATTATGTACAATAATGGATAATACTCAATATAGGTGAACAATTCAGCTACAATATCATATATCATAGAATATCATATGTAATATGTACCACATCTCAATTTTCATAATGTAGTATTCATATAAAATACAAATTTTGTTGTAACCTAATTATGTACAATAATGAATCATATGCAATACATGTGAACAATTCAACTAGAAAAATTGAAGATAAATACAATGTATCTAAATACAGACACGTCATAAAAGATCATTCTCTCTACTATATAAATAGAGCGTAGTGTACGTGTATCTATCCATCTGTTTTTCAATCTCAGTGAATCATAAACAACATGATGAGGTAGTAACTACTGGAGTTACACATGATTAAAAATTAAATAACTCATTTAAAGTTAAATATCAAATAGAATGAAAGGTTTAAAAATTCTTTATTAAAGGTTTAGTTTTAATTACACTTTTTGTCTCAATTGCAATTGATATCTAATTAAACCATATTTAAAACTTAAATGGGACACGGTATATTGCTCATATGTTTTTTTTTCTTTTTCTAGCAGGTGTACTGTGACGTATTCAAAATATTACATAGTTCGGATTCTCTAATGTCTTTTAAGAGTGACTTTATATGAAGGGATCACAAAGAATAGTAATTTTAAAAGAAAAAATTGTGCGCAAAATAAATGTAAACAAATTATGGAGATTGGTTGCGTATATGAAGAAAGATTATGCCGAATTAAGGTGTCAAATAAGGATAAAATAATTTTATTATTTCTAAATTCTTATAACTTTTATGTACATAGGACTCTGAAAGTAAAAGGCTGAAGCCCAAAATCCCTTTGCAGGACATAGCCTAAAGTCTTTACACAAAGGGCGGCTTCTAGGCTAGTCTTAAATAAATCAACAATGTTTTGTAGCAATTTTTAGCATTAACTTGAAAAAAGTTGAAGAATTTTAACACATTTAACATTACAGATAAAAAGTAGTGAATTTTATATAGCGTTTTTTTATTGAGATAACATGAGCAAAACAAATTCATGGATTTGGATAAAACAAAAACAAAAAAAATGGCCGCAGAATGACGTCAAAACCCGCAAAACTTTTCATCCTTTTAACAGTCAGTTGTGCTTAGTTTCATATATAAATATTGGTAGAAAAAGAAAATGTTGATAAGACAGTGATGGTTACAAAGCACAACATGGGACCCCTAATCAGCTCCCACCCTGGGTAGTATGAGCCGGCCCTGACTAAATGTATCAACTATTATTGGACAAAAATATCAATTTTTTATAATTTTTCTATTGGTATATGGTAGATCCTACAAAGAATATTCTCTATCATGTAATCGCTACAACAAGACAATTCTGGAGTTTCTTTGGGGTGAGAACGTAAAACAAACTTTTATCATTACACTTTTCTGGCAGTAAGTTTGAAAATAAATAATAATAGATTTTTATGGTAGCATTTCATGTAAAAATTGGGAAATTATATTTTCAGGTCACTCACCAATATGGTTGGATGTTCTAGCGCCTGGTTGGGCTTTGTCGAGGATTCGTTGAAGTTCACATTTTCCGGTAACTCGGTGCATGTACCACTTAAAAATGATACGCAAATTTTGGGTGAAGATGCAAAACAGACGATAACATATCTGAAGAATCATAGTGCAAACTGCACACGCCTTGGCTTTGTCCAAGAGACACACACGTCCTGAAATGGAAACATACCAGTAACATTCAAAGCAAAAACGAAAAAAAAAAAAAATGGAGACAAGCTCAGTGCATGAAAAAAAAAAAAATAAAATAAATAAAAAAAAAACAAACAAGAAAACAATGTTTTTAAGATCTTTGTATCAAATCAATAGCAAGCATTTTCTACTTATGACTATGATCCTAACTTCACACACCTTTCCTTAGTTGCATAGTATGTGCTTCACCAGGGTTTTGAATTCAGTGTTTTCCTTCACCTAGACCGGTTGCCACCCAAGGCTATAGGATCAAGATTGTTTTGCTATTTACCCATTAGCAGGTGGTTTGAATTCAAACTTGTCCATCTCCTAGACCGGTTGCCACCCAAGGCGATAGGACCCAGTCTGTTCTGTTAGTTACCTATCAGCAGGTGTTTTGAATTCAAACTAGCCCGTCACCTTGATTGGTTGCCACCCAAGGCTATAGGACCCGGTCTGTTCTGCTATTTACCCATTGCTGTGCGGGAGGGGGTGGGGGTATGGGTAGATGATATAGATGGATTTATACCTTTTCCAAGAGTATTAATAACACTTAAGTGAATTTAATGAACTTGACTGGAATTGGAACTTGGTTCTCTGATTCCTCAATCCTTACTTCTACCATTGCTCCACCATTCCACAACACCGAATTATACAAAGTTTAAATTTCCAGGGTTGAGGGTATAAAGGACATCTGTAGATTTCTTTTTTTTTTAACATCCCAAAAAAAAAAAAAAAAAAAAAAAAAAAAAAAAAAAGAGAAAGTTTTAAGATAAATAAAACTTGTTGGAAAAATATTTTTTTAAATTTATTTTTCTATTTTAAATAGACAGTAACTTAGTGAAACCATTACCCCACTGCCTTTAACACAATAATCCATGTGTGTCAAGAAATCATACCGTTTATTTTATACAACTATAAAAAGAAAAGTCAGTGATTTTCCACCCTACAACCTCTTTCTCCACAGATGCAAAGTAGCAAGTCAATTGCTATTCTATCAATATATTCAAGGAAAATTTTCAGACGAGTGACATTCCTTAATGCCACTAGTTCAGACCTTCACAGCTAGTATCTGCCATGCCACATCCACAGGGTCAAATCATCTTCATTCTCTTTGTATTTCATTGATAAGGAGGAAGTTCAGTTCAGAAAACTTCCCCAGAGTTGTTACTTTGTGGAACAGATTCCCCAGTGCAGTGTTACTCAATCAGTGCATAACATGTAAGGCCTAACATTAAAAAAATTGCCAAACCATATCATGCACAGGTTTCACACAAGTTTACTTAAATAGACAATGTAATGTCTTAAAAATAAATGCTTATTTCAGGAGACTTTTTTATTATTTACTTAGCCAGGGCTACATACAATTTTGAATTCAGAGTTTTCTTTCTTCTAGACCAGTTGCCACCCAAGGCTATAGGACCCAGTCTGTCCTACTATTTGCCCATAGCTGGGTAAGAAGATTTGGATTTATACCTTTCCCAAGGTTATTAGTACGTAAATGAATGTAATGAACTCAACTCTCCAATTCCTTAATCAGAGCTGCAATCCATTACTCTACTGTGCCTACAAACACAATATTACTTAATAACACACACACACATATACACACACACACACACACATATATATATATATACACACACACACACACACACAGGGTGCGATGGATAAATTGTCACCATTTCATATTTTTAATTTTGCCAACTGCCCGGTACAGTAGGGTCAGTTGGGCACCGTCTGTGACAAAAAGAAATCCATGACACAATTCACTCTGCCAGAAATTTGGAAACAGCATGCTATACTGCTTGGCATTCATGCTGGAAGCTCCAATATGAACATTTCAGGGTGTTTGGGTGTCAATATGAGGACAGTGAAGAATATTTGGAAGAGAGTTGGATGAGTCTAATGGTGATTACTAAGGTATGGCAGCTCAGAAAACTCACTCTGATCATTCTCATCAGAAAAGAACTCCCGAATTTGTTGGTGAGGTTCCCAGACTCAATACAGAGGCCTACATCAAGTGCCTCGAGTAGGTAGTACTACCCTGGGTCAAAAGGATAGCTGCTGAAAGTCCCTATGTATGGCAACAGGACACTGCACCATGCTACACAAGCATAAGAACCCAGTCATGGCTGTCAGACAATTTCTGTGACCACATCACCCACTACATCTGGCCACCTAACTACCCAGACTGCAACCCCCTTGATTATTATTGAGCGAGAGCTCAACAAAACTCCTTGTAACACCAAAGATGAACTGAGACAAGGATTATGGCAGCATTCACCAACTTAAACAAGGAGACCATCCAGAAGAGATGCATATGATTCCGAAGTTGTATTGAGGCCATGGTTGAAGCCAATGGGGATTTTATTAAATAAATTTACTCTTTAGTATTTCAAGATATTATTTTCATTTTTGGACAATTTAGATGACAATTTATCCATCTCACTCTGTGTATGTGTGCTGTTGCTCTACAAATACCATTGGTAGCATTTGACCCAGTACTATGAGCTGCTTGTTCGCCCATGAGGCTTTTTCTGGTTGAGACTAGAAACCCAGTGAAATTATAAACAAAATGTGTGAAAGGTTGGATGAACCATGTTATAGAGACAATGACCACTTAACATGGTAGAGAAGATTGGGCTTTGTATACAGCCAGTACAGTGATGACATGTCATCACAAGGCAGAAGGCTTCCGAAGCTGACATTAATGGCCAGGGCAGATGGTTCTCTCAATGGAATCAATGGCCACGTGTCTATGACCAAGGTGTGCCTTCAAGTTGGAGGACATTGACAGTGCTTTGATCTGGAAAGGGATGGGCTCCGTCAGGTCTACTTCGTCAAGACATGTATGAATATTTCTGGGATTTTCAATTCATATATTTGGAGGGAACTGTCAATGCCTAATTTAGAAGAAATGAGGCCCTGTGCTAGTTAAGTTATGACAGAAAGTCCTGGGTCCTGAAGGAAGTATGCCTGGCATGCTTACACAGGCATGGAATGAAGATGGGACCCCCTGTCCAAAAGGGCCTTGTGCTTAAACACACTTAAACACAATGGTAAATCTGGGACTGGAAACTGGTCAGGGGCCAATTATGGGACTGATGCTGATGTTATTGCTTGCTCTGTTTCCACTGAGTCTAAATCTGCACTACCAGGCCTAGGGATTGAACTCACAGTTACTATATCATCAAATAGACAACATAACAAAGTGAGAAGAAACAAGGTAATTAAGTAGATATAAAACTATTTACATTATTCAGACTATTGCCCTCATCTTTGTCGCCATATTTATTGCAATGTTTCTTCAGGTGGTTGGAATGGGGTAGACTGTTCTAGTTCCACATGCCATGTTTAATGGATGTCAGTTAATTCCCCTCTCCAAGTTCTCCACTGTCTTAACTGGGTATTGAGCTCTTTGGGTCCTATCACTGGATCTAACCAGTGAGTGAAATAAAGGGTTCAGTTCGACATTCCAACCACCTGAAGAAGGCCAGAGCGTACAACGGCTGAAATGTTGTAATAAATATGGCGACAAAAATGAGGACAATAGTCTGAATAATGTAAATAGTGTACATAATACCTCATCTCAGAAATATAGACAGATACTGAAGTAGATATGTCAGCACCCCCCCCCCCCCGAACAATAAATAGGTTTCTTCAAAAACTGACCTCTTCATAGATGTTGTAACAAATATGTATGAGATTTTGTTTTCAAATACTTGGAAAAGAATAGAGTAGAGTGGTTTTTAAAAGGCTCTTTTTAAACTTTAGGTACATTTATAGTCCGAAACTATTTTCGCATCGAAAACACCACATTTTCTCCCTCTCTAATGTCTGTAACTAACTAGCCTCATATTATTATTATTTTTTTTTTTTTTTGCGATCAATAAAATTTACAGTTTGTAAAATTAAAATAATTTGGTTCTGTAAAGTCTTGTATCTGTAATTAAAAGGAAAAATAGGGCCTGAAATGTGGCAAATCACGTGAAACAAAAAATTTGGATATATTTCAATTTCAATTTCATACAATATTGGTTTCTTTTTTGGCCATGTTTAGAATATGAGTCAAGGTAACGGAATCCAAGGGTGGTAATTCAGTATTTGGTATGTGAAAATTGTTTGATATGCTAAAAAAACTCAACGATATCTGACATTATTGAACGAAAATAATTTCATTTCGCCGTCACATCGAGTGAATGAACAATATTTTAACAAAACATCGTTTTCTTCAGTGGCGTATTTCTCTGGGTGAACATTTTCAATTGAAATTCGTGCGTGAAGTTAGAACTTTCTACGTAATTATATCTCTATTGGTTACTAGTGATAAATTAGTATTCTGCAAATTATTATATAATTTAATAAATAAATTTATTTTTTTCTGCAATCAATTAACTTAAAACGTAAAATAAACAATTATTTTATTCGCTAAAAAAGCAAAAGAAGGCCCAGTGGGAGCGAAACAACTCTGTTTGCACTTGCGGCGATAAAAGTAAATAATTTAAAAAAAACCATTCAGAGGTTTCATTTTCTAAATTCAGGTTAGTTAGGAGGTTCATTTGTTTTTTGTTTTTTTTACACAATCACCACCAAGAAAAACAAAAACCCTTTTTGAAACTCTTTCGATGAAAATCTTTTGGTGTCATCATCAGGAATCATTGATTAATGTCACATGACAACAAAAATGAGAATTGCTATATAATTCTTTTTTTTTTTTTTTAACTTTATACACGTGTTACAATAATTTTTTTAACAATACGGTTCAATAAAGATCTGTTATGAAAATGAAAAAATAAAAGAACGATAATTTTATTCTTCTTTCTACAATACTTCATGAAACGCGACAATTAAAGTTAAGTTAA